GAAGTGACTGGATTACAGAACTCTTAGAAGGCAAAAATGACACGACAGATATGGGGAGTTAGAGAGGGGTGTACTAGGCCAACTTCCATTTTTCTGGCTTTAATAACAGAATGTCAATCACTAAGATAGCAGCAGACTTGAGGGAAAACCATGTCTAGGAAGGTATGATTTCTTCTTCTGGACCAAATCTGATCATGAATTAATTTTAGAGAACATTAAGTTTGAAGCTGATATCAAAGATACATTCAAGGAGAAAAACTGAATAGGTATTTTGAACATATGAATATGTAACTCAGAAAATTATTAATTAAAGATACACATTGTTAATTTATTGTTTGGAAGTTATCAAGGCCCTGAGCACTTATTAAAATTTTTTATAGATACTATGACAGCCAAGTACTGAACACTGATGAATTGCAATACATGATGCTGAGTTAGTATACAGAAAATGAAGAGTCAGAGGAAAACCAGGAATGCATTAACATGGAGGCCAGTGCTGCTGGTCAAATAAGATGCGAGCTGACAAATGCTTACCGTATCTAATGACACAGAAGTCATTTGTAATCTTACTGAGAGCTGTTCTATTACCGTAGTGTGGGTAAAGATTGGAAAGATGAAGGGGGAAGTAGAGTTGAGAAGATTTTTTACAAAATTTCTTTTAAATTCTAAGTTAAAAGTGATTGAACATAATTAAATAGCAAGGAGTCAAGATGGAAAGCTCCAAATAAGGAAAAATATAATAATTCATTAATTATAATTGTGAAAGGAGGGACTGGTACTGTGGCATAGCGGGTAAAACCGCCACCTGCTGTGCCAGCATCCCATATGGGTGCTAGTTCAAGTCTGGGTTGCTCTATTTCCAATCCAGCTCTCTGCTATGGCCTGGGAAAGCAGTGGAAGATGGCCCAAGTGCTTGGGTCCCTGCACCTGCACGGGAGACCTGGAAGAAGCTCCTGGCTCCTAATCGGCCCAGCTCTAATTATTGGGACCATTTGGGCAGTGAACCAGTGGATGGAAGACCTACCCCCAACTCTGCCTCTGCCTCCACTTCTTGTAACTTTTTCACATAAATCAATCTTTAAAAAAATTGTGAAAAGACTGAAAATATGAGAAGGAATGGGAAACAGAGAAGATCAACTGACTTTTTCACGCAACAAATACATATTGAGCAGTCATTACATGCCAAAACCTGTTGTAGGTACTGGGGGTATTAGAAAACAATCAAAATCCCTGCCCCTTGACAGTTATATTTAGGTGGAGAAGAAAGGCAGGAAACAAAGTAAATTATGTATCTATAAGGTAGTGATACGGGCCGGCGCCGCGGCTCACTAGGCTAATCCTCCGCCTTAGCGGCGCCGGCACACCAGGTTCCAGTCCCGGTTGGGGTGCCGGATTCTGTCCCGGTTGCCCCTCTTCCAGGCCAGCTCTCTGCTGTGGCCAGGGAGTGCAGTGGAGGATGGCCCAGGTGCTTGGGCCCTGCACCCCATGGGAGACCAGGAAAAGCACCTGGCTCCTGGCTCCTGCCATCGGATCAGCGCGGTGCGCCGGCCGCAGCGCGCCAGCCGCGGCGGCCAATGGAGGGTGAACCAACGGCAAAGGAAGACCTTTCTCTCTGTCTCTCTCTCTCTTACTGTCCGCTCTGTCAAAAAAAAAAAAAAGGTAGTGATACACGCTATGAAGACAAATAAAGCAAGAAGAGAGACAAGGAGGGACAGCAACACTGTGCATATTATAATCAAGTGTTTCTCCAAAGTTCCTGTCCTGAGCAAAAGGAAACATTTTTTTGTTAAGGAACCATATAGATTGCTAACCGTTGTACTAATACACCTTCCCTCTGCAAGTGAAAGAATGATAAGCAGAAGAGAGAGTAGAAGTGGATTCCATGACTGTGCAAAAAGAAGAATAAAGCAGAGATAAGCATGAGGGACTAGTGTTGTGGCTCAGCAGCTAAAGCCGCTGCCTGCGACACCAGCCTCCTATATGGATGCCGGTTCAAGTTCTGGCTGCTCCACTTCTGAATCAGCACCCTGATAATGTGCCCGGGAAAGCAGTGGGAGATGGTCCAAGTGCTTGGACCCCTGGCACACACATAGGAGATGCAGAAGAAAGTCCTGCCTCCTGGTTTTGGTCTGGCCTAGCGCTGGCCATTGTAGCCACTTGGGGAATGAACCAGCAGATGGAAGATCTCTCTCTTTCTGTCTCTCCTTCTGTAACTCTGCCTTTCCAGTGAATAAAATAAATCTTTTTAAAAATAAAGATGAGCATGAACAAGAAGGGGAAAACCACAGCTGAGGTTATCTGCCTAATTCCTAGGTTTTCCTTACCTAGAAAATTCATGATCCTACAGAACAGGTTAGGCTCCCCTTTGGGAACCCTCAATAATATCTTGTATTTTGGGGCCGGCGCTGTGGCTCACTTGGTTAATCCTCCACCTGCGGTGCTGGCATCCCATATGGGCGACGGGTTCTAGTCCCAGTTGCTCCTCTTCCACGCCAGCTCTCTGCTGTGGCCCAGGAAGGCAGGGGAGGATGGCCCAAGTACTTGGACATCTGCACCCGCGTGGGAGACCAGGAGGAAGCACCCGGCTCCTGGCTTTGGGTTGGCACAGCGCCAGCCGTGGTGGCCATTTGTGGGGTGAACCAATGGAAGGAAGACCTTTCTCTCTCTCTCTCTTTCACTGTCTAGCTCCATCTGTCAAATAAAAAAAATTCTTGTACTTTACTTTTGAAAGTAATTATTACAAGTATATGGCTGTTTTTTTCAAGTACATTTAAATCTTCAACTGTGTAGTGTTTGTGTCACCTGACAGATTGTAAATTCGAAGAGGGAAAAAAAGTTATATTGTTCATGTCTGTATCCCAGACATGTACAGATTCTTAAGAAACACCAAATTAACAAACGCTTTGTTTAAACAGACAATAATATCAGGCTGTTTTAATAAGAAATAACTCATTGGGGCTGGTGCTGTGGCACAGTGGGTTAAAGCCACGGCCTTAAGTGCTGGTATCCCATATGGGTGCCGGTTCAAGTCCCAGATGCTCCACTTCCAATCCAGCTCTCTGCTATGGCCTGGGAAAGCAGTACAGGATGGCCCAAGTCCTTGGGCCCCTGAACCCACTGGGAGACCTGGAGGAGGCTCCTGACTCCTGGCTTCAGATCAGCTCAGCTCTGGCCATTGCAGTCATTTGGGGAGTGAACCATCAGATGGAAGACCTCCCTCTCTCTCTCCCTCTCTATAAGTCTGTCCTTCAAATAAATAAAATAAATCTTTAAAAAAAAAAGAAATAACTTATTGATGATGGAAACATTTCCTCCTCTTTTTTAGACAGTATTAGCAGTCAGTAAATGCATTTTCAAGTGCTGGTTATAATTATAACCAAATCTCATTAGCTCTGCATTAAATGTAATGTTATCTGGAATTATCTCTGACGTCTTCCCCAGAATACCTTATTTTATTTCTTATATCAAAGAAATCAATGAGTAATTATAATTTTTATAGATGGTTCATAGGATTATTATTGTGAATAATCACTGTACTTGCTGATGTCTTCAGGAATGGCTGAGATACAATTAGATGGTTTTCCCAGTTTGCTATGCTTTTGAGCTTTTTTTTTTTTTTTTTTTTTTGACAGGCAGAGTGGACAGTGAGAGAGACAGAGAGAAAGGTCTTCCTTTGCTGTTGGTTCACCCTCCAATGGCCACTGTGGCCGGCGCACCACACTGATCCGATGGCAGGAGCCAGGTGCTTCTCCTGGTCTCCCATGGGGTGCAGAGCCCAAGGACTTGGGCCATCCTTCACTGTACTCCCTGGCCACAGCAGAGAGCTGGCCTGGAAGAGGGGCAACCGGGACAGAATCCGGCGCCCCAACTGGGACTAGAACCCGGTGTGCCGGCACCGCAAGGTGGAGGATTAGCCTACTGAGCCGCGGCGCCAGCCTTTGAGCTTTTCTATCTGCTTTAGAGAGCTTTTCAGTCTCCTCTCTTGTTTGTAGTATCACATTTTGTTACTATGAGAATATCTGCTTTTTTTTTTTTTAAAGATTTATTTATTTGAAAGGCAGAGTTACAGAGAGGCAGAGGCAAAGGCAGAAAGAGAGAAAGAGGGGAAAGAGAGAGAGAAAGAGAAATCATATCTTCCAGCTGCTGGTTCACTCCCTAGATGGCCGCAATGGCTGGAGCTGAGCCGATCCAAAGCCAGGAGTCAGAGGCTTCTTCTGAGTCTCCTACATGGGTGCAGGGGCTCAAGGACTTGGGACATTCTCCACTGCTTTCCCTGGCCATAGCAGAAAGCTGGATCAGAAGTGGAGCAGCCAGGACTCAAACCGGTTATCACGTGGGATGCTGGCACTGCAGGCAGCAGCTTTACCTGTTATGCCACAGTGCTGGCCCCAAGAATATTTGCTTCTAAAAGTTAGCTACTTTTCTTACAAATTGCTGCTTTTAAATAGTAGCAACCTAGGAAAGCCCATTTCCCAAGATGAGGTCTTAGTAAAACAGTATAAACGGTGCTGACAGTAGGCCTGAGGCAATCTATGTGATTAAAGATAAAGACTCAGGCAACATACATAGTTCTATTATATCTAAAGTTGACTAGTCTAAAAATAATGTGCAGATATCTATTAAAAAGAAGTGTTACACTCTATGACGTCAAGTGAATACAAAGGCAATTAAATGATCCTAAAATTGAATTCTTGGTCTCATCATGTGACCATTTATCAGTTCTTATATGAATTAGCAAGAAAGATATAATAGACATGACTGCAGTTACACCAAGTAGTTGCAGGAACATCTTACAGAAGCCATAATAAAGAAGTCAATCAATAAATCAATAGAACACTTTCCACCAAGATAGCCAGAGAAAGCTATTTTGATAAAGAATATTTTTAAGGGAATAAAGCAAACTTATGACAACACACAAGGTACTGATAATCTTTGTACTACTGGGTACCATTTTTCAGGAAGCTAAAGCTTATTTTGTTCCAGGATGCATTAGCACATACCTTTGAACAAGCGGCAAAGGCAAGAAGTTGAGTGTGGAAGTCATGTCCAATCCACAGTCCAGCATAATGGTGGTTGACTTGAATTTGAGCACATTGCATGGTAAGGTTGGGTGTCCTGACAGGCAGTACTGAAAAAAAAATTATTTTATTTTATTTATTTATTTTTTTACCAATAATCATTCACAGAAAAAGTCTATCAAGTAAAGTGAATTAAGTAACACTGATGATCTTCTCCCATAAGAACATGTAAATTCAGTGAACTTTCTAAGTCGCTCTCTCCTTTTTATTATTCAAGCACTTTAGCAAAATATTCAAATCTTAGATTATACTTTTCTTTTAGGTTACCAAGGTATATATCAGGCAGGCATAATTTTGCAGGGATCACAGTTATTCAAACTATGAGAGGCTTCAAGGCTATGGTTATCTGCTCCACTCTCACATGATAGTTTCCATATTATCTCGTATGCCAAAACCTTCACGTAGGTAGTGCCTAGAGCTATGGAAGCAAATGAAATTAAAGCTGGATCCTCAAAGTGTGCTGCATTAGGTTTGGCTTTCTCCTCTTAAAAATAAGTCAAGTGACTTTCCTTAAAGAGGAAATGAATGGTTGGAAAAGTTAACTACCAAGCACCAGTAAGGTTTATAGCTCTGCCTCATCAGGAGAAATGACTCAAAAGACAAGAGACTTCATGATGTGTAGACATTAAGTTGGAGTGTGGGGCACCAACTCACAACCAATCAGGTGTTTTGCAGGTGGCAGCAGAGCTCAGAAGTTAAAGGGGGCACAATCTACAGGGTGTATTAAAAGAACAATGATGAGGTAAGCCAAATCACTGACCTGAAACATTTTTTACATTATCCCCAGTGTAATGGGGATAAGAGATATGCAATAATGGAAATTATCTATATCTGTTACCTTTAATAATTCTAATGCCATTCTGAATAAATGGAGGAAAAGGCAAAGAGCTTTTCCTTCCCCTTAAAAAGCCATTCTACAGAAGCCTCTGATAAGCAGAACATCCCCCAAATGGAGGGATCAATGGTATCAATTCCTCAACAAGTCCATACTTCCTTTCAACTGCAGCACAAACAAGGCAGAGAACTGTTCCATCAATGCCCTGCCCCACACAGTCACAATCTCATAGGCTAAAACTTTCAAGTATTTGTAGCTCTATTCATTCTGTCTGTGCACTGGATGGATTTTCTACTTTTCCCCAGGGGACATAATAGGAACTAATGATTTTTAAGAAACTGCATGTTCTAAAAATGGTAAGACTGACAGCCAAGATATGGTGGGGATTTTCCAAGCTGTTTCTTCTTTAAAAAACTAATCTTACTTATTTGAGAAGCAGACAAACACACACGAGACAGAGAGACAAAAATAGAGAAAAAGAGCAAGCACATTGCCATTTGCTGGTTTACTCCACAAAAGCCTGCAATAGCTAGGGCTGAGCCAGGCTGATATCAGGAGCTTGGAACTCAATCTTGGTTTCCCATGTGGGTGACAGGGACCCAAATACTTGAACCATACATATCTTGCTGCCTCCAGGGTGTGCATTAGCAGGATGCTGGAATTGGAAGCAGAAGTAGGACATGAACCAGACTTCCATTATGGGATGCTGGCATCCCAAGCAGTGTCATAGCTGCTGGGCCAAATGCCTGACCTTGAAAGCTGCTTTATTATTTCAAGTTTATATATGATGATTAATTTTTACCAAAATTTATAATTTAGTCTACAGAGGTTCAAAGGTACTTAAGATAAAAACAATAAAATTATCTAATATTCCAATTGTCCTGCTAAAGGGTAGGATGTGTGATTTAGGCAATTATATTTATAAGCTACTTTTTTGATAGGGGCCACTGTATGGCACATCATGTTAACCTGCTGCTTATAACACTGACAGCCCAATATCAAAGTAGTGGTTCAAGCCCTAGTTGTTCAGCTTCCAACATAGCTTCCTGCTAATGTCAAGGTCTTCGGCTTCTGCTACCCCTGTTGGGGATCAGCATACAGTTCCTGGCTCTTGGCTTCAGCCTGGTCCAGACCTGGCTGTACCGATCATTTGGGGAGTGAACCAGTATATGGAAGATCTCTCCTCCACCCTCTTTCCTCCTCTCTCTCTTTTTCAAATAAATAATCTTTTAAAAAATATAAATATCACATAAAACTTGCTCCAAACACAGCAAATGTTCTAGTGAGAGCTTTCCTATATTTCTTCTTTCAAAAAAAAAAAATCAGATATTCAGAAAAACCTGGAAGGTAATAAATTATTTTTCTGGGTGGGAAGATTATAGTGAAATATTTTTTTTTTAGTTTGGCAACAAGTATTTACTATATTTTTATGATCAGAAAAAAACGATTAAAACAAAATGGAAAACGTAGCCAGTCATACTGGATGACATCTTTCATTTTCATTCTCAACTCTAAATTATGGATAATAAAGTATACCATAAGATAAATGATTGACACTGCTCAAAAGATTCTAGCAAATTAGCTGAAAGACTCAAATTTGTTACTGTCAACAAAGAACAAAGAGGAATACTTTATAAGGAGTATAAGCAAACGGAAGGAACACCTTCAGAGCACCTGCTAATGGTACCAGACCCTGATCTGTTGAATTTGTTTGTTTGGATGAGGAACTGGAGCTTTACAGCTTGAACAATTTGTCTGGAAAGAGCCAAAGGCAAACAGGGAGGTCCTCTAACACCAAAGCAGTCCTCCTACTTTTGCCTCCAATGTCTGCATTGCTCACCCTGAGAAATCAGCTGAACTCTGGCCTCAGAATCAGCCCTTAAGGCATTTGGAACCGGCTAAAAAGCCCATGAGAGGATTTCAGGCATGGAAAGCCAAGACACTGTGGCAAATAAATAAATAAATAAAACCTAAATCAAAGATCTCCACAAGTAAGATCCCAGAAGAAAGAACAGGCCATCAAAGGAGGAGGTACCCTTCTCTGAAGGGAGGAGAGAACTTCCTCTTTGACTATGGCCTTACCTAAATAAGATCGGAGCTGGTGAACTCAAGAGGCTTCCATAGCTTTGGCAGCTTATGACAAGAGCCTCAGGTGATTACGGATATCAGAGATAAAAGTGTCAATTGTTAAATCAAAAATGGGAGTCACTGTGCATTTGCTCCCCATGTAAGATCTCCACCCTTAATGTGTTGTACTATGTGAATTAATGGTATAACTAGTACTCAAACAGTGCTTTATACTCTGTGTGTCTGTGTGGGTGCAAACTGTTGAAATCTTTACTTAGTATATACTAAATTGATCTTCTGTATATAAAGATAATTGAAGATGAATCTTGATGTGAATGGGATGGGAGAGGGAGTAGGAGATGGGATGGTTGCAGGTGGGAGGGTGGTTATGGGGGGAAAAGCTACTATAATCCAAAAGCTGTACTTTGGAAATTTATATTTATTAAAGAAAAGTTAAAAAATCAGCTGAAGTTTGCACAACTCAGTAAAGAAGGCACTTGCCCACTACCCAGAGCTTGCTACCTGCAGAGACACTTTCTCTAAGTCTCTAATAAGCTGTCTCATTACCAGTTCATCACCTAATAAGGATTAGGAGCCTGACATACAAAAATAAGGAGCAATCATGTGACTTTAATTTTAAAGCTAGAAATACGACACTACAAAAAGCTTGAGGGGCCGGTGCTGTGGCGTCACAAGTAAAGCCACCGCCTGCAATGCCGGCATCCCATACCGGCACTAGTTTGAGTCTCGGCTGCTCACTTCTGATCCAGCTCTCTGCTATGCCCTGGGAGAGCAGTAGAAGATGGTCCAAGTCCTTGGGCCCCTGCACCCACATGGGAGACCCAGAAGAAGCTGTTGGCTCCTGGCTTTGGATCGGTTCAGCTCCAGCTGCTGCAGCCATTTGGGAAGTGAACCAGCAGATGGAAGACTTCTCTCTGCCTCTCCTCTTTCTGGGTAACTCTGACTTTGAAATAAATAATCTTTAAAAAAAAGCATAAAAAATAACAGAGAAGTACTACAAACACTCCAATCTGATTACCATGTTTATATTATTCCCTTTCCTCATATTTGTAAAAGCTTTAATTTTTGTGTACATGCCATGCATGTGCTGCTTTTAAAACTCAAGATACCATTGTCTATGTTTTCCTTGTTTATGTTGCACCACATCTTATTTTTATTGGCCAAGCTGATATTCCATTGTTTGTTTAGTCATTCCCTTATTGTTGAACATTTAGGGTTGCTTCCACTCATTCTATTACAAACATGGCTATGGTGATCACTTTAGTGCTTCAGGCTTTTTCCATATTGGACTATTTCTTCAGAGGATTCCCAGAAATGGCATTAACTAGGTCAAAAAAGTACAAGCATTTTATGGCTTTTGAAAAATGTTGCCAAAATGCTTTCCAAAAAAAAAAAAAAAAATTTGCTAGCCTCCTCCTCTGGTCTCCTTTCTTTTCTCTCTTCTCTCCTGCTCGCTCTCTCCTCTCATCTCTCCTCACTAGCTCCTCTCCTCTCTTGTCTCTTACACTCTCCTCTTTTTTCTCTTCTTTTCCCCACCCCTCCGGTCTGCTGGGTTTTAGGTCAAGTGCCTAAGCCCCACGTGGCCAACTGAATATGAAAATAAAAACAATAGCAATTAAAGAAAAAAAATTTTAAAAAATGCCTATTTACAGCACTGTTGGTGAGGCATCAGAAGATCTTTTTTTTTTTTTTTTTTTTTTTTTTTTTTGACAGGCAGAGTGGACAGTGAGAGAGACAGAGAGAAAGGTCTTCCTTTGCCGTTGGTTCACTCTCCAATGGCTGCCGCTGCAGCCGGCGCACCGCGCTGATCCGATGGCAGGAGCCAGGATCCAGGTGCTTTTCCTGGTCTCCCATGGGGTGCAGAGCCCAAGCACCTGGGCCATCCTCCACTGCACTCCCTGGCCATAGCAGAGAGCTGGCCTGGAAGAGGGGCAACCGGGACAGAATCCGGTGCCCCGAGAAGATCTTTCTACTCTTTATATGTTACTGTCAAAATCTGGAATCTGTACCAAATGAAGCCAAAACCTCAGCAGTAGTTACCTAGAGGTAATTAAATGACCCTAGCCAAGGAGTCAGCCATTTGAAAAGTGGCTCTAATTTTGAAAGGCAGTTTGGGTGAAATTATAA